GGGTCATGGGGAGGGACAGCAATGTTGCTATTTATTATAAATAAGAATATTAATTTTTGCATTATTCTGTGAAATTTTATATTTACACCCACACCATATTATAGCATACAATAATGATGCTAGTTTTGAAATAATAGATTCTCTTCTGAGTTTACAGTAATGAATAGTATTAATCATGTTTGATTTTTTAAGATTCAACATGGTATTTGTAAGTGTTTGTCCGTCATTTTATTTGTATCTGTACATATATCTAGAGAAAGGATGTGATAACACAATTTTATCATAATTTATTTTACAAGTATTTACAAGCAATCCGTCCAAACATCATATTTTATTATCTCTAAGGCACATAAACTTTTGTAGAACATTCCAAACTTGATATGAAGATTTATGTACCTAAGTTGTTTTTAACTATTTTGTTTTCTTTATTCCATGTTTGATACTTTTGGGGTGATCAGTTACTACTCATCATTGTGATGTTTGTCTTCTCATTTTCATTGAAAAAAACACTAAAGAATCTTTTTTAAATTTGCAATCTAGAACATCATACTTTTGGGAGTTTACTTCTTGGAATGAATAGTAAAGTTGTTTGATACATGTTTTAGAAGTATATGTTTGTTCTTTTGCAACTCTTAAAATTAATCATAGAAATAAGATCAAGTGGTAGGTTACTTGTGTAGACAAAAACGTCCTTAAAGCTAAAGTGTAGGATTCTCCTAATTTCTATTGATTTAATGCTCTGTACACGTGACTTGTAAACAATAAAAGAATGTTTGATGTGATCTGCTGTGTTACTTATTTTGGTATTTTTTTCCAGACAGCTTTATAATTAAGGCTGAATGGCTGTATGTGTTATAATTCTTTGTTATCATTTTACTTTTTCACCTGTATGAGTTATAATTCTTTTTTATCATTTTACTTTTGTGAATTTGTTTCTATTTTTAAATCCTTTCATATTTTTGTACATTTTGCTTTGGTTTTCAAAGGAGGGATAGAGATGTTTCAATTCACATGGAGGTTCACATAGAGGATTTGAAGTACGGTCAAAATTGCCTGGCGTGCGTGACCCATTATGCAGGAGAAAAGTTGAGGGGGGGGGGGGGTTACAGCGTCTTATACAGCGTCATGATAAAGTTCTAAAAAAGTGCAAGGAAGGAAATAAGTAGAGACATTTTACAAGGTTTATTGTCTTATACTATTGTACTGGTGGCCATTAGAGCAGGTTCGATTGTATTTTTCTTTTTGAATATTTTATCTCAGTCAGACTAGGACATATGTATTCTGACAAGGGATCAACTTTTATCTTGTAAGACCTTAGACTTCAACAATAAGAAATACGATCCTGGTGATTGCTTCAACCAGCTCGACCCAACAACCTTGTTCAAATTATCTGTGTATAAAAACAAAATTATTTTTAAAAAACTATTTTGCCTGTTAAGGTGACAGCGTTCATCCAGCCATAGAATGATCACCCAGTGCAGTACTTAGAGAGAAAAGCAAGATTTAAAGATACCTGGTGGTATATGATGATGACCATACCAGTAGTGAACGCCCAAACAACTATTGTCTTCTTGTTGTGCAAATCAAGTTGTCATTATTTTGTAAAGGGTGTTCTAGTCAAACAGCAAGGCATAACACCACAGCAATAACAATTATTATGAGTTTGATTCTCAGCTCTGCAAGGTAGGATGTATCCTTTGAAAAGGCAGGCAGTCTTTACCGTACCGATATTCTCCTCTGTTCACCTTAGTGCAAATGCAATGCTTTTGCAGTCAGCAGTTTGCGATGATGGAATGTATGAGACAAAACTGTGCACCTGAACATGGATGGCTGGTGCCTCTATAAATAAATCATTGATTGTCTGAGACAAAACTGTACGTCTTTGGGGAGAGGGAAATTGTCATATATGGAATGAACAGGCCTTTTACCAGCAGAGGGAGTCATTGTAAAGCCATGGTACCCTTCAGGGAGATACACGCCTATAAATAAGGACATTATTTTTTGTGAAATACAAAACTGAAAAGACATCTGAACTGCCAATAGGTGATACATTGTCTTATACTTAATTTCCATAAACCTCAACAATCAAACTAGGCCTGTTTAAGTTTCAGTGTGATAAATGTATCACAGTGCAGTGTCAATATCTTCTCTGCATCATCTTTCTGTGAGCAAAGATATGGGTAAAGATGATACCGTAGTAAATCAAGTGAAACACATATATAGAAAACAAAAAATTTAGCTGAAATCAAGCACAATTTCAAAATTAAAGCCAAAATGTCTGAACACCTGTATGTCTCTGTCAACAGCAAGGTGTTGGATGGTACTGGAACTGGAAATGTTAAAGACGGAACATACTATCAGGGGAGACTGGTAACACTACATATATTACGTAAATAAAGGGCTCTGTGACAGCTGAGAAAAAAAATTGACAACTAGTCTTTTCTAGCTCGCAAGATTTTTATTTTTCATCATAAACACAACTGCGCATGGAACAAAAAAAATTCTTCTACCTTATAATGATAGCTTCAGAAGTTACCAAAAATACAAGGCTGTCTTTTTACTTTATTTATGTGCTAATCCTGAAGGTGATCAGTCTTTTGTATAAACATAGTTCAATATTTTCAGTTCAAATCAAATAAATGAGTACAGCAAAGGAAAATATCCTCTAAAGAATGTTATCCTACTATGTTTTTATCCCAGCGATTGGAGAGAAGAAGCAGATCCAACTATTTGGCCCATGTTGAACATACAGCTCTAACTATGACGCTGAGAGAATCGCCAGAGTAAAGACCCTGGAGCAGATCACCCAAGACTTTTTTGAAGGCGCAGTAACACCAGGGGATGTTGTTGTCTTCTCTGACTCAATGTCAGTACTCCTAGCCGTCGCGGGAGGAGGAGACTACAGAGGTGACGGGAACATCCTCAGCCTTGTAAAACAGATTGACACTTCCTATGGCGTCCGGGTCACACTGCAGTGGGTGCCTGGCCATTCTGGAGTACCAGGGAATGAGACTGCAGACCATCTATCAAAGACTGGAGCGAGCTTGCCCTAGACAGACACAGCCGCCTCTTTATAGATCTCTCTTGGGTACATGGACAAACCCAACCCCAAACACCCTTCGAATCTTTTATGTAGAGCCGATCAGACATTGATCTTTAGAGCCCGCACAGGACACTTACACACCAACAAGCACATAAACAGAATCAACCCCATGTGGGAACCCCATTGCAGACACTGTGACTACCACGAGGAGACCGTTGAACATCTTCTCCTTCACTGCCCAAACCTGGCAGTTCTTCGACCCAAGCTCCTACACACACACCTACAAGCCTACAGATTTACAAAGCCTGCTCTACTCTGGCGTTGACCAGATGACAAGGACATGTGGTTATTTGAGGGAGGCATTGTGCTGCCAAGAGCGAAATGCTCGCAGCAAAAGGGATTTGAAAACAACAACAACAAAGATCCCAGCGATTTGCCGAACACCTTCAAATAAAACAAAATAAAGGGAGAAAAAAATGGCAAGTGTACATACATGTAATAATATGTACACTATTAGTCTGCGGTTCTGGCCTTGGCTTTGTACATTTGGACTGTGAGTCGTCATAATTATAGCAGTTGGCAGTGAAAGAGGCATTCGCTCTGTTTAACATAGCTAAAAATAATATACAGTTTTGTAAGGGAATGTTGAATTTGTAAAAAGTACACGCACACAAAACCCCCATAACTTTCGAGTGTTGGTTCAGAACTCGTTTCAAATATGATTTTTTTAATGACAAAGAATGAAAATAAGAAGGTGAACTGATATAGGTTTAATTAAAACCCCTATCAACACTATTAGGTTATGAGACGGGACCTCCGAGTTTATCGCCCATCCCCGAAAGGACAAAGCCAAATTGGATTAATCGAAAATTCATGTACGGTGCCTTTCCCAAGAACACAACATCGGATCGAGCTTGCGCTCA